GTCTGAGTTCAAACATCGATTGGGCTAGTTAGTAGTACTCTAGCGTTCTGCTTCGTTACTCTGAACTACGTGAATGAGGTCAGTCCTGTCAGGTCAGTCTTTGTATCAAAGTCTTCCCTGCGCTATTCAGCACCTTTTGTATGTATGAGAATGCMCATTGTCTGTMGAGAYTCTACTCGCACTGTATTGTCCATTCAGTCCTTTTCATCACACTGCAGTTCCTCGGTGATTACGTACATTGCATATCTGTGCATGTAACAACCTCACAAACACCGCACTCCGTGCACAGGCTCACAGCACACACACTGAACACAGCACAAATGGGACATACTGTTTGTTTGCATTGGGACTCGGCAGTGACATCACAATGCACTACAGTGACTGCGCACAGTGCCACGGGGCACATACACATTCAGACTAAAGGGCAGCACAGCATGCATTGAGACTGCAGAGTGCGGTCACACTGTCTAAATGGCAGCTACTGAGTAAATCGTCGGCCTCAGGGGAGGGGCACAGACCCGTTGGCCTGTGTGTGGTGGATACCCTCGGCCATTCTGGCGTGGGCATATTGATGGGCATGTTCGATATATGCACAGTAAAATTAATTTGGACGATGTAAACAGATGGAGTTTCAAGTACCCCTCGAGTGCCAGGGCCGAGGGGTCGGTTGTGTTGTAAACAGATGGAGTTTCAAGTACCCCTCGAGTGCCAGGGCCGAGGGGTCGGTTGTGTTGTATGAAATTGTAATGGGTGACGACAGTGTATGCATGGTAACAACAAATCAATATGTCGTTGCGGTAAGTGTCCGGACGTGGGATGAAATTATTATAGGCCTCGGCCATGGTGCCGCGGTGATTGTGAGACAAGGGCGTAAGGACAAATAAAAACCGTCCGGGCATATAACCGGGAGGGTGACGTAGTTAGTGAGATTGTTGTTGATCATGGGATCGGACGATCAAAAGAGGGTCAGCGAATGCAAGGACCGAGCATTTTGCCAGTAGCTGCGGCTCCCATCTGCTTTCTGTACCTCTA